GGGGGGGGGGGGGTCTGTCCAGGCCTCAGCAGGGTCAATGGACCTCAGGACCTTGAGAAACAGGAACCGGTGTGCCAGGCTGTGGGCAGAGCTTGAGTTGTGTGAACCCAAACCCCTCACTAGTTCAAGCTCCCAAATGATCCTGCTCACATAAGTGTGATTGTATTTTTAAGAATACAGTAACTTTTCAAGTTGTAAAAAGTATTTAAACTGCCTTTCCTACCCATTAACATTCATTTTTAAAGGAAGAAGCCACTGGACAATAAGAGCGAGCTTCCTTGGCCTGGACTTTGGGCAGAGACTCTGTGGTGAGTGCCCCTTACCTCTCCTCCCTGGGGACTGTCCACTGGACCGTCAGAAGCAGGGAGCGAGGCTGCCGAACTCATAACCTGCCAGAAAGGACATGAAATGCAGCAACTACCAAGTTCTAGTGAACAAGACTCCCACAAGGGGCAGATGACATGGAACCTTCCTCTGGCCCAGGCTATAAACTGCTCTACTCCACAGGAAGTGCTCCTTTGGAGAAGGGGGGGAAGAGCCCACTGTGTGTGGACCCAGATGTCACCGTCCCACTGTGTGCCTCCCAAAGACCTGCCTGTGACCTGGGGTTATTTTTATCCCATTTCTTGGAGCAGGAAACTGAGGCCTGGAGAAGTGACTTTCCCAAATTTCACACAGCTAATTAACGGGGAACCAGGGTTGAATCCCAGCTGATCCAACTTTAGAGACTATAGTCTGAACCATTTTATTTCACATAAAGTTTTTAAACATTAAAAAAATTACCTTTACTACCATTTCAGTAAAACAATCAGGGCATCACACATATGGAGTTTATGATGTGTAAGTCTCCAGAGGATATTCACTACATAGAGCCCTGAGACAGAAGTGGGTGTTCTCTGGGGACACGATGGACACAGACCACAGAAGGTCAGAGCTGATGTTCCTGGCTGAGGAGGAGGCAAATTCCCACAGTGTCCCCGTCCCACTGCGCCTGCTCACCTGGGGTTCCGAGGAAGGTTCTGGATGGGCTGGACCCCCAGCTGGTGCCTGCCCTCCCCTGCCAGACCCTTCTGCAGGTGGGGCTCCCTCTGGGTCTGTGAAGGAGACAATAGGGAGGGGCTGACCACATCCTAGAGGACGTTCCACCAGTGCACTCTCGGAGGGGAGGGAAATGAGGCCCTCTGTACCGGGGCCGGTCATTCCTCTCCAGGGATATTAAGGTCAGCGGCTCCTGGGGAATCAATGGTCAGGAGGTGGGCTAACACCAACGTGCCGCCCCGTACTGCCTACCTGGGTTTGGTCCAAACAACTGTGCCGGGATTGGCAGCGGGGCAAGTGGGGCAAAAAGGTCGGCGGGAGCAAGAGCCGGGTCACTGCGCTGGGGCCCACCCAGGTTTAAGACGTCCACATAGCGTGCTCGACTTCTAGCTGTGGCGGGAGAGGAGGCAAGTCAGGCGGGCATTCCAACTGACCCAGCTTCCACTTGGCTCCTCATGGCGGCAGGGGAAGAGCCAGCAGAGACCCTCTCCAGTCCCACTCAGTGGCTGCGGGATAGCATGCCTCTACGGCGCCCCTCTGCTTAACATCTGCCATTCCACACTGCTGTGCCCTCACTCATAGTAGGTGGTCTGGCATCCCCCCACGCAGTCCTGCTCATGAACCAGTCCCCCTCTGTGTGTGACAACTACCACCCACCACACATGCTCTACTCACAGAACTTGAGAACATCTGTAGGACAAAAGGATTATCCAAAGCAGCTCTCACTTCTAGTTTGACTTTGTTACCTGCTTTTCTAGAAAACATGTTCACAGAGGCTCTGGGGGGCCCTCCAGGCCCAGGGGCGGCAGCTTGTGGAGCCTTGGGAAGTGACATTGGAGGCGGAGGTGGAGCCTTCTTCTGCAGAGGGACAGCTGGCTTCAGAAACCTGCTCATGAACCCCAATGCCCAGGACGCGCCACAGACAGAAGCCTTGGAAGGCAGGGCCCCTCCCAGGCACAGCAAAGGCCCCTTTCAACAAACCTCCTCCTCCGGCTCGTTGGTGTCCACCCATCGGTTCTTCTTTTCATCCCAGACAATCTGCCATGATTGCAGAGCAAAGAACACTGTCAGCGGGCAGCTGCGAGAGCTAGTCTGACTACTCGTGCCATAAAGACTCGAGAAGGCGTGCATGTGGATTCATTCTGAAGCTGAAACACACTGTGCCAACAATGCTGGCACGACGACGGACATGCCACCAAGACACCTATCCAGTCCTCAGGTGCCACACTCAGCAACACTCACCGATTTGTTCTTGTCGTCTGGCAAATACGCTTCTGTCCTCTTCTTCCCAGTCAGCCAGCGAGAGAACCAGGACTCGGCACTCTAAACAAAACCACGACAGCACCTTGAGGACCGCACGCCGAGCGAAATGACAGCAATCCTGTGTGTCCCACTCAGAGGAGGCCCCTGGAGGACTCGGATCCAGAGACAGGAAATAGACGGTGGGTGCAGGGCCAGGGGAGGGGTGGGAGCAAGTGCTCAATGGGCAGAGGGTCAGTCTGGGGAAGAAGGAAAGTCCTGGAGAGCATGGTGGTGGCTGCACAACAGTGTGAATGCACCTAATGCCACTGAGCTGTGCCCTTAGACATGGTGGTGACGGTCAACGCCATGTGTACTTCACCACAAACAGTACTGTGCCTCTCGAAGCGTCTCGTGTCTGAGTGCTGACAGAGGCACAGCCTCTGACACTCTCCCCCGAGCAGTGGCAGGCAGTCTGGGAAAGCCAATCCTTGTGTTCCCAGCTGGGGGAATTTACCCACTGGGGAATTTCTTTATTTGTCAAGTACTGTACCTCACTTCTACTAAAAACAGAGAGAAAGCAGTGGTGGCTGCACACACAGGCAAAGCTGCTTCTCTGAATCTCAGTAGGGAATGACCTGCCCTGGAAACGGTGCAGTGACCTGCAAGCTTATGACTTATTTAGCTCACGATTCCACACACATTCTGAATGAAAACTGCTCACAGCAGACACTAGCCATTAAAGAAAATCTTGATAAACCAACCCTATTTTTTTTTTAAATCCCCACCTGAGAATATTTATATTTTTTCCATTGCTTTTCAGAGAGAGTGGAAGGGAGAGAGAGAGTGAAACATCGATGTGAGAGAGACACATCGATTGGTTGCCTCCTGCTTACACCCTGACTGGGGTGGAGCCTACAACTGAGGTACATGCCCTTGGCCAGAATCGAACCAGGGACCCTTCAGTCCATGGACCAAAGCTCTAACCACTGAACTAAACAGGCTATGGCTAAACCAATCTTATTAAAACTAAGAACCAAGGCCCTGGCTGGTGCTGTTCAGTGGTGAGAACGTCAGCCTGCACACTGAAGAGTTGCAGGTTCAATCCCTGTCCCTGGTCAGGGCTCATGTGAGAGGCAACCTATTAATGTGTCTCTCACATCGATGTTTCTCTCTCTCTCACCCCACCTCCTTCCCTCCCTTCCACTCTCTCTAAAAAAAATCAATGGAAAAAGTATCCTTGGGTGAAGATTAACAAAAGCCCAAAGTACCATGTTCTTCACAGATGGCATTACAAGGGTGAAAAGGCAATCCACAGGTCAGGAGCTCTAATAGAGGGCTTGTATCCACAATATGGAAAGGCCTCCTGCGAGTCACTGACAGCAATGGGGGAAGACAGTGCACACAGCAGAGGACAGAGAAGTGGAAACAGGTATCACCCCTCACCAGGGAAATGCCAATGAAAGCACAGCCAAGCATCGCCACCCAGCAGAATGGCTGACCGAAGGACCAACAGTGCCCACCCTGCACACGGGGACAAGACCTGGATGGTCGGTGCAGCTTTGGGATGGCTGCTGGAGATGAGCTGTGCATTACCTTCTTAGGCTCCTTGGTCTCTTTTTTGGCTGCCTGTACCGGGCCCTTCACTTCAGGAGCGGGTGTCAGAGATGGAGGCTGCAGGGCACCCAGGCTGGCACCACCCCACCCTGGGGGGGCCTCAGAGTCCTGTAGCATCCTCGAGGAGCCCTGTCCAAGGCAACGTGGGAACTGGTTCATCTGGGGCACCTCCCAGGAGCCCTCAGAACAGCTCTGAGAGGCCAGATGACAAAAGTGAGAAGGAAGAAGGTGAGGATGGGTGAGGGCAGCCCTGGCTCTCTGGACCAACTGGAGCAGAGCCAGCCTACACATAACAAGCAACTGTATCAAGGGGCATCACAGGAATCAAAAGGTGGGCTCTGGGCTGGAAAAAACAGACTCTATACACACAGAGCATAAAGACTGGTCAGTAGAGCAATGGGCATTTTAAAAGTAAAACATCCCTGGGTTAAGAGTCTGTTTTCAACAGTTAAACTCTTATTTTATCTTTCCAGGGACAGAAAGTCTTAATGATAGAACACACAGTGAAGTTTAAGTGACAGTAATTTAAGTTTAAATGATAGTAATTGCCTACTGACGGGTGTCCATGCAGTGCTGGGCATCCGTAAAGAAGGTTCCAGAAAGCGGCTTGTATAAAAAACCACTTGTCCCTCCTGCTTGGGGATCAGAGCAAACAGAGGTGGTATTTATACCAAAGAGGTCTGATAAAATGAATCTCAATGTCAAGAAAGCCAGTGGCAATTCTAAGGACACCATCGCAGAGCAGGTGCAGGCGCCTGGGT